GCACGCATAGTCTCAGAATTTCTCCAAACTCTCTATGTTAGAGGTCTTTGATACTGTAAACTCAAATCAGGCAGAAATTGGTTGCTACGTGTCATGGTTACCATGGCAACATGTCCTAAAGTTTGAAAAATGGCATTTTTCAACATGTTCAGAGTCCCACAGTTAACGTTTGCAGTAAAGCAAACAAGTGGCAATGATCGTTTCTGAAAGTTGAAGGCCTGATGTTTTCAATGCATGATAAACTTGTTTGGTAAATCAACTATTACATACGTTGCTATGGAAACAAAGTTTTCAAAAGTAATAATTTTTCTCATTTAATTTTATAAAATCATACACTTAAGAATAGAAAATATTATAGGTTGCAATGCAAGCAAATAATAGACAAAAGATCTTTGTAACATATACCAAGGAAGAAATATGATATTTCTTATAGGTTGGCAATGGTTGCCATGGTTTTAATACCAAGAAGGGATTTTAAATTTACCCTCTTAGTGTTTAAATCTAATCCTATCTTTTTAAAAAGCATATTTCTATATAATTAATGATCAATTTTTAAAGACGTTCATGTGACCCTAATTTTCACATTTCAAAAAATTCAAATTCAATTCTTTAAATAGAGCGTTGCTATGGAAATAAGCCGAAAAAATATGCATAAAAATCTGAATAATATTCTGTTTCCTTGGATACGTACCCTTATATGTAGATTCCCAAAACTTTTATGATTGATAATTATGAACAACTAACCTGACTTTCAATTTTGACTGCCACCCAATCTCTAACTGGATGCAAAAAGCTGGCACATAGAGTTTATTATTGACATTAAATTAACAAAATCAAACATTTTCCCTTCTTGGTTATCATAGCAACAGTGTTGTATTTTTCAACAAACGTTATCAATATATGATATTCAACTTGAGTTCTACCAGATAAGTACTATTCAAGGTGAGTCAAATAATATGTTTCTTGAATAAAAGGTACGGTAAGTAAATTCCTAAGGCAGCAAAAAAATATCACTTTAGACAACTGGTACATTGTTTCCATGGTTACACTGCAAAGTAACAATTAATCCCAATTTTTCTTATGTTGTCGGTGTTGCAAGATCCTAAGGATGTATATGTGCCAGTCATGAATTTTATTCTTTTTCCTGAAGATAGTAGCATTAACCCAATCTTAGCAACATGTTTTGCATGGTTACACTGTGTAACCATGGCAACCATGAAAGTTATTTTTAGAATAATATTGCCAATACCTAATAACTTAAGGTTAAATAATTTTATTGTTTTTTCTTAGGTTTTTGATTGAGTTTGATCATTTAGCACCAATCATTAGTGAATATTGAGCGTTTTTTCTGCATTTTTCAGCATCTAAAATGTATTATAAATGTAACCACTTACTTAGAGATAAATTCTAAATAGTTTCTTTATAGCGTAAGTGGCAACAAGGTGTCAGGTTTTTGTGAGGATGGTTTGTTTGTTTTTCTTAGTCTTTATTAAGGCTTAATAAAAATTCAAAGTAGCTGAAAATCTCAATTTTTTCAAATTTTCTGGCTGTTACCATGGCAACCAAGACACATAGCAACGAAATTTTATTTGATATATGTTTCTGGTGTCAAGTTGTAATAATGGGCAAAGTTTCATCAAAATCGGTGACCATGCGTGGCAAAGAAGTTTAAGTGGTTACAGAGAATCGCTATTAATAATTTCGTAAGACATATTTGCAAACATTAAACAATTGAAAAAAATGTATTTCTAATTAACATAGCGAGTTATTGTTATCCCATCAAAATTAGATGGGCTTGGTTTCATAATTTTTATTATTAGATTATACTGTTATGTATGTATTTTCCAAGAGAAACTGTAAGATGTGTGCTCTCTTAAAAATGATTAACGTTGTAGGAGTATTTTTCTTTGTTAAAAACTACCTTGTCTTTATGCAGGAAAATCCCGATACACTGTCAACTTTCTTTTATATCTCTTTTACACTATTGTGGAAAACAAAATGGTGTTACATATTAAATTGAAATAACAAAAGTGTTTGATACTTTAAAAAATTATTTGCTTTTTTAAAAAGTTCCTCAATTATGTATTTTCCCTGGCAATTCCATATCCACGTTCCGTATTGTCAACCCTCGCAAAAATCAAGTCGCATTTTCATATCTCTTAATCACCCTTACTAATGTTATTGTGATTTAAATTCAACACACGTGATGTAGGTTGACCCATTCAAAGGTTATGGGGTAGAAGTGGTTTTATAAATAAAATTGACAGTAAACAGGAAATTGCTATAGCCTGTTTCTTTTAAAAACATACCCTATGAAAAATGTGTTTCCAGACCTTTCTGAAAGATTTCCATGATATTAAACAGAAAAGTGGGTAGATTAAAAATCACAATCTGCTTAATCTTCGCTTTTTTGATAATTTACGGCGAAAATTGGAGCTTAGTTGTGACAATTTTTCCAAAATCGCCCGAAACGCTGGTAGGAAAAAAGTGTAATATGTCTTCTACAATGACAAACCTTTGTTTACCTTATATGGCTATTGTTATTAATGCACACAGAGGATCTTACTGCGAACAATTGGCAAAACGTTGAATGAATAGCAACGTTTACTGAACAACTATATGTTTATATTTTACTTCGAACACGTGGTTCAGGTCAATCAGTAGACTGCCAAAACCTTTTGTGTTTCAAAATGTGTTATGAAAAAAATACAAACATTAGAAACTATAAAAGATCTCACGGGTGTTTGTAATTTTTTGTCACGCTGTTTTAACTAGAAATTGTTTATAATAAAACTTAGGCTGTGCAAAGTTAAGAAAACTCGCGTTTCAAGCTGCTACCTCATTTGCTAATATGACGCAAAAAACATAGTCCCAGTTCCCGTGCAAGTATGTCCAAAAAGAATACATTGCAGAATATAATGACATAAAGAATACTAATTGAAGTTTGAATGAATTCAAGGGAGATTGAAGTACATTTCTACAGATATTATACAATGGTGAAAACTGAAACGCAACATAACTTCTCTGTTTACCATGTCTCCACGTGCTAGTCACTTCCTATCGACATTTCCGTGAATAATTTGCCTTATCTCGCTGTAGTCTCGCTAAATCTCGACAGAGCTACTTCCAGAGCTACTGCGAACTCCTCGGGTTTTATAATTTGCAGAACACCGAAAAATAAAAGGTTCCGAACACATAAGTAGGGGTGTTAATGAGTTCCAGGAACTCAAAAATAACGTAATGCATGATGAAATGAAATTACATTCTGTTTACCTTCTGTGTATAATTGAATATGTTTTGTATACATGTACATGTATTATTCCTTTATAATTTGTACATCGCAACAATGTAGAGAAATGGGTGGGGGGAGGGAGGGAGAGAGGATTTCCTGTACCTTATTACATGTAGCTTCCATTGTCATTCCCACATAGACCCTCTTTTGATTCTTTTTTTTTATTATTATTTCATTTATTTTTTTTATTATTATTATTATTTTTTTTTTTTTTGATTGTTGATTTGGTTTGCAGGTCAACTTTTATTTTTGGGATACATATTCATTTTTTTTATTTTAAATAAAACACACAGACACAAGTTTTACTCTAGATGCACCTCTATGTTCTGGGAGAGAGACGGCAGCAAATAATGAATAATGGATACTTCAAAGATGAGCGATATAAATATTACATCTTGACAAATAAACGAGGACAGAAACTAAATAAAGAAGTATTTAAATATTCAGAACCTTTTAAATAAACACTTGTGACACCCAATATAATTTTGTGATTTAAAAAACACACTGATTCGCAGTAATTAAAATATGTTTAAAATGCCTCTTCAAAGCTTGGCAAGTAAAAAAAAAAATACACACACCCTGCTTTACCGTCAGTAGACATATTCTAATAATTTTCAATGTTTTGAACAGTGAGCTTGGTAGTGTTTAATGTGTGTTTCGAATGGAGAGCACGAGACAGTATTAAGGAATAAAATGTAGTCATGTTCACTTTCACAAAGACTGTTTATTGACATTAAGTTGTAGCATAACTGACAAACAAACAAATTAAAAATAGGGGTTTCCCAATAATTTACCCTTTAATTGCGTTCTACTGCGCAGTATTACGTCCTTAACGATTCGTCCAATGAGGTTTTGACTAACTAATCCAGTTCTCAAGTACCCTGTGTCAAAAGGATCGAATTCTTCCTGGTCTGCATTACTTAAATTTAAATCAACAACGCGTTTTTCAATTTTTTTCTTTTTAAGTTCTAGAGGAAGTTATTTTTAATTTAAGAAACTTAACCTTATTTCGATGAAACGTCAAAATTTGAAAACCCTATCTCTTTCAAATGTGTTCTTTCGTACCTATCATTGATAAGTATAAGATTTTTTCCCTGTGTCTAATTTATTTATCTTTTAAGAAGGACACTTTTTCATCTAAAATTTAAAAAAAGGCAACAGAAAATACTCTGTCATTTTCAAGTGGTCTTTTGTCAATCTATGAGTATATTGATAAGTATTCGAAACATTATACGACAGGTGTCTAAAACTTAAGCATTTTCCAGGAAGTTATTCCTAATTAGAAAATGTACTTTATCCCACTTCAATACAAATCTAAGATTAACGATTTAAGCATTTTGAACCTGAAAAAAAAAAAAAAAAATCTTATTTATAATTATACAGTATTTCAGCGTTATTTCTGCAACGATTCATTGCACTATAGCTTAGCCTTAAAATGACCTTTCAAAGCTGCACAGATTAAACAAAATATATAATTATGGGATTGTTTTATATTAACGGCACGGATTGATGAAATATGTGGGTTTTTTTCTTCTTTTTAATTATTTACTAATAATATAGTGTGTATCGGCCTTGAGGAAGCCCTTCATATTCAAGAAACTCATAATTCATGATAGGATGTTTAGAATTGCATATATTGAACACTTACAGAAGAGATGCAGATATTGCACGCCTATACTGGCGATATAAAATGTACTAAAAATCCTCATTAAATTGTATTTTTTAATTTTAAAAAATCAATTTACAATGAAAATCAACAAGAAAAAAGTATTAGCTACATGTATTAGGATATAGTATAAGACTTACAGAGCTAATTATTGGCTGTAAAACATTTTACGGCTTACTTGTACAAATATTCAACAATATGAGTTCAATAAAACTGTATTATCAAAATTAATAAACTCTCCTAAAATTAACTGAGCTAATACACTTACATGTACAATATCTAACATTTTCAATATGCTAAATTCGTAATGGCATACATAAGCATACCATATTCTCGCCTTTATCAGCATATGTTTTCACTGTATAAAATGTAGAAATATACATACATGAAAATCTGTCTAAGGGAAGAACATGCAACATGTAATATACAATACATAATGAGAAAAAGAAGACATTTCATGTATCAAACTAGGAGCATATTGTTAAAAAATGTCAAGTTTTCTCTGGCATTAAAAAGCAGACAGTTACCCACAAGTATACCTAACAACACAATTTACAACATGATTTATTATATCAAATTGATTGTACATACTTTGTTCACTTTAACCTTTAAACATATACGGTGATATACGTGTATATGAATATTCCAGAATCAGGATTAAACATGTCACAATTTACATAGCCCTCGCTATGAAGTCATGTGATTACGACGTCTTTGTTTCAGTAACGTGAGTAACTAGAGTAGAGAACCACTCGCAGTATCACGGAAAGTGCAATGACAATAACTCCAATCACAACGGAAACGATGACAAGTGTGCGCGCGCGTCCTGACTGTTCCTGTGCTTCCGCTACATCACCAACAGCAGCTGCATTTTTTGCCTGTTAAGAAATAAGAAATGTATGAGAATGAAAAATGGATATATACATATGTTTACAGATAACATTGCTTCTATATATAGATAAATAATCTCTCTCTCTCTCTCTCTCTCAAAAACACCTAATAACCAAAAAATGTACCTTATTAGCGGCAAGGATGGCAAATATCCCCGTTGGCCAGAAGCAGCACAAACACGAGAGAATAGCGGGTACCATCCAGTCTTGTTGAGGGGGCTGGGCTACGACCATTGTAGGCCCGGGCTGTGCAACCTAATGGGAAGATAAAGGCAAAAAAATTATGTTTACATTCCACAGTTTTTCCCCAGTAATCTAGATTACCGTCTTTTCGCATTCAGTTCTATAAGAATAGGAGACAGAATAAGTAAATGCACGGGGAGCTAATTTGGATTGAGCTCGGTACAAAAATTTAAACAAACTGCTCTTAAAGTCATAATTGCGTTATCATTGTTTTATTTGTGAAAGTTTACAACTCCTTTAGTTTCAACTTTTTTACAATGATATATTGATGGAACTTGTCTACCTGCTAGATGGTAGTGAATAATGTTTTCATATAGTTGTAATTTACTCGTAGTTTCAATATTTACAGGTGTATTAACGTTAACAATTAAGCCACAGGCCTGAACCCTTAACGCAGAGGTAACGAATTTTACAAATTTTGGTAAAGGCCTCATTGCTTGATATACGGGGAATATACAAGAATTTCTAAGATATCTACATGTATTTTAATTTAATTTAATATGAATTTTCAATATATGATCAACGTACATAAAACAGTTTCCTGCATGAATTATACCAACAGTTTCCCTGCTTTATGTCCATGAATAAAGAAAAACATTTTTGAACATTGCATTAATTTTTTATGGTCAGAGCCACACCCCTCAGGCTCAAGGTAGGCAGAGACCGTGAAATTGAATGGCTCTATTCCCCGTCCCAAAAATGCAATCTACACTGCAACAATTTCTGTTAACATTGGATAAACCATCCAAAAGTAGAAATTTAACGTTAATTTAACGTTCACGACCGACGGACGAGGCACGACGTCGGACAAAATTGGACAATAATAGCTCACCTGGGTGACTAAGGTGAACCCAACTATTAGATATATAATGTTTAAATCTGTACCTTTTGCAACAAAACCTCAGGCAGGCAGACGGACCAAAAGATAACCTACCACAACATTGTGCTGCTGAAATTGACCGGGATACTGGCCCTGAACGCCACCTTGCGGCGGATATTGACTTCCTGGATACTGGTTGTACTGGTTCCCGTATCCATACTGAGGCTGAGGCTGAGTATTGGGATATGCTGCTTGGTTGTATGATGGTGGTGCTTAGAAAATTAAATTAATATTATTTATTATAAATAAAATCATTAACATAAAAATCCTAGTATGCGAGAAAATGAAAGATAACTAAAGTATGGATATTTGAGAAAGAGAGAGAGAATCAAATTATGTTCAGATCATGGTCCTAATGGGCTGGGGTGTGACCTCAAAAGTGGGTCAAACTTTTATCTAAGGATATAAATGTTCGAATCCTGACAAAGGGGTTCAAACATTTAAGTAGAGATTAATATGCAGATGTTAACTTCCTCCAGGACTTTAAGGGGACCCTTCCTCCTCGTGAATTGCGGGAAACAATATTTAGTCCTGTCAACACAAGTCATATATTGATATGAAAGGTCATTTCAGAGAAATTCTAATAATGTAATTATGTCCGTTGATTTAAAGATGGAATTTTTGAGGAAGTGATGACGATCAGAAATTTAAACATTAATTTTCAGCACACTAAAAGACGTGGAAATTATGATTTTATACATGTGAAGTACTGAAGCATTGTATAATAGACTTGATGAAAAGCAAATCCAGAAATGAATAAGAGCTGTTTAATTGAATTCTTGTTCCAAAACGATTCAAGGGAATCTTTGCAAATGGAAATCGTATCATAGAGATAAGTTAAAGCAAACTTGAATATTGTCAAAGCCTTAATTTCGCAGGGAATCGCAGTTTTCCGATGAGAACGCAAAACAAAAGATTCTGACGAGATCAAGAGTTCCGCTGTTCCAGGGCCCATAAAACGTTGAAACGTTACTACAGTGGTCAATTTTGAATAAATTAAACCTGAATTTAAACCACACTGACATTTGTTTGTTTGGTTGTTTACCGTCACTTCGTCAATTTCTCACTCATCGAGACGCCACCACTTACCAGGGGACGGCTGCAGATTTAGATCTTTACTCGGCACTTACGGCCTTTGATCGTGAGTGATCTTTTTCGTGCCAGCACTAACTGCAACACGGGACCTTGATTTATATACGTTCTCATTCGAAGGACCAGTCTCCATATCGCAAAGTGGATTTGAACCTGCGACGTAAGGAACAACGCCTCGACTCTAGAGCAAACGCTCTAACCAATGCGCCATGCACTATTTTGAATATCGACAAACACGAATGGGAAATTCAAAGAAAATGAATCCATGTACAAGACATACAGCCATATATCATGTTAAACACCGGTATGCTCGAGCAAAATCTTTATTTTTTATTTATTCACTGTAATTGAAGCGATTTTCATCTGACCCTAATTGACTATGTGGAACGCACTTTACTAGACCTTGTAAAGATTTTGCCATTTCCGATTTTGTGCATTCATCTTTGTGCATTTATCTTGTGATTATTTAATATCTTAGTTCTATATTTCCCCTTAAAGTACTACATGTATGTTATGACACTTGATATGTCATTCATTATTCTCGGTGGTTAAAATTTGCATTTAGCTATGAGTATATATAGCGAACATTATTGATATCTGTCACAACAGACTTCATTTTGAAAAAAATACATCCATGCACTGAAGATATTTATGAAAACCATTTCTTTCATCATTCAGTAGACACCAGTTGGAACCGTTTTACAAGCCACCTGCATAGATTTCTATCAGTGAAACTTGCAGTGACGTAGACACATGTATCAATGATACTTAAAGCTACTTTAAACGATAATTTATACAGACATTAATATAAACAATAAATAATAAAATGCATTTCTTTGTTTGAATGATTGCACCATTGCAGAAAAAATTACATATCCTGCCTACGCGTGTTTTGCATTTTTTATTTTTTTTATTTTATTTTATTTTTTTTTTAATTTTTTTTTTTTTTTTTTTTTTTTTTTGCAACAGCTGCAATGATAATCCCCATACTATCAAAGATATTAGCATTTTATTGTTTAATTGAACGAAATATTTTTAAAATTAAATCTTTTCAATATTCTATTGATTTAACAAGTAAACTGTCTTAAAAAACAAAAACAAAAACAAATAAAGAACACCAGCAAATAAAAATAAACACGACAAACATAAGGAAAGACGGTCAACAAAGCAGAATACTAGTATATATCTCTCTAAACCAGTCTGTATCAGTTACAAATGCGTTTACTAATTGATTTTCGATAATCATGAAAATTATGCCATTTTTTGTTACACATTTTTTTATATTATGTATTTTAAAAAAGCTCATGTAACTCTTACACATGTAGGGGAAATGGATGTACATGTGTGAGTTAATGAGTATCATCAAAATGTATTGTTTTTTTATGAAATGCTCATTGTATACTACATTGTATGTTATAATTTTCCTCATTAAATTAACATTTGAAGTTTATCAAGCTTAAACGGGAGGAAGGACAGAAAGGAGAAATTGGGAGGAAAAATATGGATAATCACTCCAATTTGGACACTCTAAACATTGATTTTTCAAAGAATTTTTTTTTTTTGGGGGGGGGGGGTGGCGCTCGTCTTTACTTACATTTCAATTATCCGTTTTCCTTTGCTTGTTGTTTGATTGATTTTTTGTTTGTTTTTTTTTTTTTTTTGTACTCAATTTAGCGGTTAAATTCAGTATATATTATTTTATCATTTCCCAAACTTTTAAACAGAAATATGCAGGATAGTGTGAAGCGTGGGATATTTACACGAAAAATGGTAATTAAGGTTTTTTCTTTTACATACAGGATTGGAAATTATAACACTAATTTTGAAATGTCCCAAACCATTTCAATAACAATTACATTTAATAAATCAATGCAAAAAGGAAAATATGAAATTACTCACATCCCTTCTTACTATCGACGGACATACTCCTCCATTCTGAGCAATAATTAAGTGTATCGTACAATGTAGTATTCCACCCTCTTAAAAGTTATATCATCACTTAAGCGTCGTACTCATATTTAATTTATCAGATTTACTTTTCAAAATTTATAATTGAAGACTTCAACATTAGCCAATTACTAGCATTGCTTAATATACAGGTATGATGGGTGATATTAATGGAATCTTTAAAATTAATAATAATTCGAAAGTAAAAACGTATTAATACAATTGAATTCTTATCATAGTACTCGTTTACTCGTCTCTGCATGTACATAAATCATCCAATTTAAAGTTAAGCTAGGTTTAAATGTACGTTGTTGTAAAAATATATTTCCTAAATTCAAGAATTAAAAAAAAAACATATTTATTTGTTGGAATTGTTTGTAATATGCCTGATACATGCATGTAAGATAATTTGATGTGTCTGGTAATATAATGTAGTTGTCATTGCCTTGTAATGAAAAAAAAACCCCAAACCCACGTTCTCTGGCGTACTATGTCACGCTCAAACCAATTGCTACTGAGACCTCATACATTGTCCGATATTCACATACATGTATCTGTGTATCCGGCGACATATACAAGTAGTTTCTGCCCGAAGTTTATGAATTTTAAAGAAAGGAAATGTTGTAGTGGATGTAAATACTAAGGGAATGATGGGTTTTCTTTCTTTTTTTTATTTGGAATGTTGTGCACATAATGCAACAGGTGTGGGTATCTGGTGTCAGGTATCGAGTATCACAAATATGAATTCGTATCAACAGGTGAATATAAACAACGGAACCCGTCATTGATCTAAATAAATTACAATGTAGTCACTTGATAATTTTAAGCAAAAACAATGCAAACCTTTTGTAAATTAACAATCATAAACTCATAAATATGATATGGTACTTAGAAAGAGACAAAGGTACTTAACGTAAGGACATAAGGTTCTCATAAAAAATTATAGATCTCTGTAAAAACACATTGTACAGGGTTAAATATTGCTAAAACATACGTTTATCACGATAATACCTATCAAACAAGTCTTATTTTTTTCATTCTCCCAGAATTTATGCTTATACATTGTAAATTATACACAATCTAAGACGAGTTATGAACTTATATAACTGTTTTCGCAGGCACGTAGTATCAGGTTGGGGGGGGGGGGTCCCGTCCTCATTTTTTCCAAAAAGAAAAGCTTTTACTATATATAATGTTCATTATGAGTGTAGTTCCCCACCTCCTTTTTTTTGTTGCATAGTCAAAATCAGGGTTATATACATGTAGTACTGAATGTAGACAATTTGGTTGTGAAAAAGTCAAAATCAGGATTATAAAGTATTATGAAGAAAATTTGCCCCCCCCCCCTACACGAAATAGGATATTTGTGTTAAGAGAATTTTTTTTTTTTTTTTTTTTTTTTTTTTATCAAAGTTTTTCAAAGGATCTTGATTTTTCCCCCCTGACTACGTGCTGCCTGATTCGGAACACCCAAGGATTTTTTTTTTCCATCGGGAGAAAATGATATACTATTCACGCACGACTACGCAAAAAAGGTAATATACATGTATAACACAGCCTGACAGGCGTTTGTTTCATACAGTACGCTAGTTTTCTAGTATACAATTGTACACTAGAAAACCACAGGTACTTGTGGACAGGACCCTCCCCTCCCCCCCCCCCCCAATATTCAACCCCGGGGCTTGTTGGACATTTTTTTTCATAAATTATATTTATTGCACTTATTCATCACGTGTACCAAAGGAAAAAATGGTGAAAACCCCAAAACAATCGTTCCACACAAAAATACCACACTATACATTAGTCTTATAATGTATAGTGGGGTATTTTTTGTGTGGAACGATTATTTTGGGGTATTCACGGCTTTTTTCCTATAGTACACATGATGAATAAGTGCAATAAATATAATTTGTGAAAAAAATGTCTAACAAGCCCGGGGTTGAATATCGGGAGGGGGGGGGGGGTCTTGTCCACAGGTACCTGTGTAGAAAACTAGCGTACTGTATGAAACAAACGCCTGTGATATATAACGAATTTCATTTAGGCTGGATAATTGTATCATATATTCTTTTTAACCGTTCCCATTTTGATAGAAAAAATTCAATTAATTAAAAAAACAGGAAAATGAATTCCTACAATCATGTACCAAGACATTTGGAACAGAATAAAATCAAAGACATTTTTACTGAATTGATTTCGTTATGCAGTTATCGGGTGACATGTGTACGAACCGCTTCGAACAGATATAATCTACTCTGTGTTAACTTAAATGGGGCCCATTTCTATCGGCCTGTCTCTGGGCGTTCTTCTAATCTTGTCTGCTCTATGCATGACTACATGTAATTTTAATGCGCAGTTCAAAAACTTTTTAAATCAATGTTATGTTAACAAACTCAAGCAGAATATTGTATGTTCATATCAACAGCTGATAAATGTTCTTTGAATATGTGTCTTAAAAAGATTTATTTTGATATAGATTAATTTCTAAAAATATTTATCTTATTTTTCACCGAAGTTTGTAGTCAATACAAAGACATAATTATGTAGATCCTTCTTTTTTTTATTTTTTAGGAAACGAAAAACGACACCGACTTAAATTCTGTGTGATGTGCGTCACTTGAGCTTTTCCAGATTAAATATGGCTAGATAGAGTCATGTAATTATTGGTGTACGGTGTTTAAAGCAGTTTGTTATCTTCTCCACATTGAAAAAAAGAGAGTAATTCATTTTCCCGTTTTAATTCACCTTGAGACGTCTTAACTGCTTCAAATTTTCCTGTGAAATGCCTGAAGCACTTCTTAATAATCATTGTTTTGTTTTTAGCATTGTTATTGGGGCAGCAGACATATAATGCACGTGTGTAATGGGCGGAAAACCTGAATAATAAAGAAAAGGGTCAATCTTAGGTCAGGCGCTGAAACCGATCGATGGCATCAAAACATCTTCAGGCGAACCAACCGATAAAATTATTGTATTCACAAACACAATAGTTCTCTACAGATCTGTTTTAATTATTTGAATTTCATATTATTGCCTTCCTTCAAAATTTACGTGCATTCTTGAAATACGCATAGAGAAAAGCGAGCAGCTCTGTGTATCTTCAATCGTTATCAAGAATCTTGTTCTTCGAGCATCGTGGACTGATTAGAGGTAAAAAGAAGCAATTTAAAGAATCTCCAAAAATCTTATATCAATAAGCTATATTATACTTACGTCCTGTTTTTTCCTGGTTAGTAGACATATTCCAATATATTTAAAATACTTTGCGATGTACAATTATTGATGGCGTTAGTGTTTATGTTATATATCGTACACTCTCGATCGACTGTTCCGAATGAATGGTTCACTCCCGCGTTATAGAGGTGTTTACGCCTCAGAAATTTACACACTTGACAAGCGCATTACGAAATGTTTATAGCAGTGGTGTGGGTTTTCCGTTTTCACCGATATTACGTATGAATATATTTGATGTCAATTGGGTTTGGTGATCATGAATTAACCCATAGGAACTCATTTAAGCAGGGATAATTTATTCTCATTAAAATCTTTCTCTAATTTGGACCTTTAACACTGTTTAAGACATGTTAATGTTTCAATAATTTAACCACGGTACATGTATTGTGTCTGTAAGTATGTGTGAAATTATCTGCATATACTAGTCTATAGAGGCAGAAAATAAAAGGGGAAAGCAACGGTTGTGAAAAAAAGCAGTCTATGAAATTTACTTCAAGAAAGTAAAATCAATTGCATGCAATTAATACATAGTCCATGTACACTTTCATCAATAAATTTTGAATTTAAAGAAAAAAAAGAGTAAAGAACGCGTGCGTACCCTCAGCACAAAATAAAAAAAATGTGCCTTTATTTTAGTAGACAGTCATTAGTTTGTTTACAAATTCGAATGAACCTTTATTGTTCTAAAGATTTTTTTAATGAGCTTATTCACGAAAACAAAACGTTCAAGCATGAAGTGCGGATATTTGTCACCTATAAATGTGTCATTGTACAACAGTAAGTAATAAACGTGACAATCCTATAATAAATGGATTTTAACAGATTGTTTTACATGTACAAACTAGTAGCTAGTACATGTATTACATATCAGGAACAACCTACCCCCTTCTGGATATGATGAACGTCAAGCAAAAACCACCCTTAAGTCAAAAATTTGACATTTCGAGTTGTTTAGCGATCCTGATAGACAAATTTCTCCTCTTTCAAATGATATATAACATGTCATTGTTTATAAGCTAGAAATAAGTGACAATTTAAAATAAAAAATACATACTCTATGTCATGACGTGGTGTTTTATCGGAAAACGTCATTTATTTTGTTTTCACATTTCCATGGTTGTGTTGTAAAAACTGCACAACAAAAATCACCCCGGACTACAAATGACATTACATATGTGATTTTTATTTAATAACTTTGTTATTGTCCCTTTTTATGATCGATAATTTTAGCATTTTAGAAGAAAAATCAGGTTTCTGTTACCCCCCCCCCTTTTTTTTTTTTACAAAGGAGACACGAGATGTTTTGTTTCTTCTTTTGTAATCATTTTTCAGTTTATATTTCTTTTTGGGGGAGGGGGTTTATTGTGCCTTTATATGGTTTATGCTAGAGACTTTTTTGCACCCCCTCACCCCCCCCCCCCCAAAAAAAAAACTTACACAGTTCAGATCAGATTGATGCCCAGATGGTTTGTATGCTTTTTTGTTTCAGAGTTTTAATTTCTATTTTATGATCGAAAATTGAACAATTTCATGATCAGGATATGTCGAGTCGACATATGAATGAAAGTAAATGTTGCTAATTGATAATACGTTGTCGAAATATATCTAATTGTGTAAGGCCACAGAAAGTGTTTACTGTTTCTCATGTGTACGATTCTGAATAAATTCGGCTTCATATGAATACAAAAATTAGGTCTGCTAATAAGGGGCATTCTGATAACAAAAGGCCCCACCATTTTCCAGAGAGAGAGAGAGAGATCAATATATTATTTCACATATAAATTAAATCAAGCCGTTCGTCGAAAATACTTTCTGTCCTTAAGGACAGATGATACAAACAAAAAATGGATGTTTGGATTGGCATATATTTTTGGGCTTGTTTCAATGGTAAATGATGCAAATAATAAATTTCTAAAATATCAAGAAATTGTAAACCTTCTGTTTAAAATTGTACAGTGTACCTTTCAGCAACCATACTTCATAATCTATATAATTTTTTGTCACTTCAAATCTCATTTTTGTGAAACTTTGAATGAAATATTAAAAACTATACGGTTAAACTTTTTCATTTTACTTACATAAACACGATTCATGTTGTTATTATCAAATTTTTTGACAAAAGTTTGTTTGTATCATCTGTGCAGACTGTCCTGGTGTTTTTCGTTGTTTTTTTTTTTTTTTTGTTTTTTTCAAATGATGATTTTGTTCCAGAATTTATTCTTTTTTTTGGAGCAGTTTGAGGAGCAGATTCGATTGCATCTTTCTATTAATCTCTCACAAATGGCCCTAAGAGCTTTATAAGGAAATCATCCTCTCTAGCCGCAGCTACACATTTTACCGGAAGCAGATGAACAAGATTTGCTGAAGAGACACTGCATTTATATGCATATAATACATATCGCTGTAATATAATTTTTACCAAGTGAAACTTTTGGTACTGAACTTCGTTTTCCAGTAAACGGAAGGAAGTTCCCCCTTTCTTATCTGCTGAAAATGTGCATTTCTCACGCCTTGTGGTAGAAAGCAAGCTCACAAATCAATCAACTTCTCTCCGCCTATATAGCTTACGTATTAAAGGAAGTCCAACATCCACCACCTCTTATCAAAGTACAGGACTTGCATAGGAAGTAAAGTTTTTAACTGATAGCAAGTCTTCATGATAAATAAATATCTGTTTTAGGAAAAGAATTAATTATTTGAAAATAATTGACAAATTGAATGTGTTTTTTCCTGCTTGATTGTAGACGACAATTTTGCTAAAATTAAGACAATTAATACCTGACCTACTTGCCTATTTGTTTCAGCTATGCAGATAAAAATGCATTACCAGAAGTGAATTCGTAATTTACAGTGTGGCTGGGGTCCATATTTTTGATGAAAAAATAATTATCAGGATGAAGATTTCCGCACAAAATAAAGTTTTTAAAACGTAAAATTTAGAGACCAGTCATGAGGGAGGGGTACTGTTTTTTCTTTTAAGCACACGTTTCGTGCACCCCTCCTCCTGACGTGACATACATTTTTATATTAAAAAGAAATGAGATCTGAAGCATTGTCACAAGCACACTTTTAAATAACACCTGATTTCGCCTTTAGAATCTAAGACGTTTTCCCTGAAATACACCATCGGAAAAAAAGACCAAAACATACGATCCTCGCACATTAATTCTGAACAGATTTTATGCAGATAGAGAGTGGCATGAGACGAAAAATGCAAAAATGCAGCATTAAAACAATTCCTTTTTTGATAGAGAGAGAGAGAGAGAGCGTTGCATGTACTAAGTACCATGTATGGCCAAATATGTACTCCAAAACACAGTAGGTCAACTTGGCATACATGTACATGTACGTGGTGCGGAATTGAGAGCGCTTAAGAAGAGTCCAGTGCATAATGAACCTGTCATAAATCTGTTGAAAATGGTGCAGCGGGTTGTACAAAGAGCCTTGAATGTTGTTAATCCCACTGCATGTCTATTTCCTGCTGGCTGAGCGTCTTGAGCGAGACCGTACTAGAATAAACTTCTTTTTTCCGTGGTTGCACGGTAGAAGGAGGGAAATAACCCGACAGCACGCTAACTCCTAGAAGTTTCTAACACAGTTGTACAATTGTGGTTTGATTGGTCGATTAAATGACACATTAAAATAGCTTAAATAGTTATTCGCCAAATGCTAAATGTTACATCAGTTTCAAGTTTTATTTGAATCAATTTAATTAATTTTATTTCTATGACCTCATCAAATTTAAAGTTGCTTATACCCACCTTAAACCATGTATTACTAGTATTATCTCCATTTAGGATATAACAGAATTTAGATCTAAATGATTTCATTTTCATGATAATTTCTCATCTTTTCCCAAAACATGTAGGTTGTGTTTGTCTTTAATTAACTGATCGAAGGATTCATAATGTTGCAGTATTATTCCTTTCAGAGTATGAACAGATTAAAAATTTTAAAATATCAATTTGTTTTAAACTCTTTTTTAACAACTATTTTATAGAATGAACAATCAACAGTTTATACTTTCCCCTCTAAATATCGATAAACATGCAAATAAAATATACACAGATACCGAAAAATCTTTGGAGGAAGTGGTGAATACTGAACGCTTCCTGTTGCCAGGTAGCAATAAATAATTATAATGCAGGTTACTTCCCTTCTGTTAACATCCATGTAGATTATTTCAGGCACGTAGGAAGCAATTTTTTTTAATTTTTTTTTTTTTTTTGGGGGGGGGGGAGGATTCTTGGCAAGCAAAACAGTACAGAACGGGGATTCTTGACAAGCAATAGCATAAAGCAAAACAAAACGAACTTTTTCATTTGTTATAGTATAAACCGGCCAAATTGTACCGAGGGTGCACAACCGTAAATTTATAGCTTTGTTTCCCAAATTAAATTATATACTGATAAATCATATTCCTGTGAACCCCCCCCCCCTTTCCAGTTCCTTCAAGCTTGTTATTGATTTTTGGTACATAATGCTGTTTAGTATGCAAATAAACTTCCATACCTTTGTATAAAATCCAACACCTTGGCTTTACCCTTTGATTAGGGTTTCTGTGATTTTTATTATAAATATAGAAATATTAATTAATAGTGACAAAAAATCATGTTGAATAAGAGTAGATCTATATTCTTTTTGTTATTGCCTCAAGATAATGTGCGATTTCTCCCCATATTTGTGTTTTAGTTCTAAGTAAAAAGAAAATGCTCCTTGAAAATGAAAACAAGGTCGAAGATCGTGCATTCGCTACTTCGAAAGATTTTCACCTTCAGTTTGCTATAAATTGTTAAAAAAATTATTTTTTTTAATACTAAACAGTAGGCTTTAATAATTACACTTAAGACTACTCATTATGTTGTCTAGTCTAGGCATTTACTTTATAAAGAAATATATTAATTAATGATGCGTCTTCACACTGCATTTATTTGCAAAATACGGCAAACATTTATGACATCAACTTTACCGCTCGTTTTCTCGATAACGTCACAATGCACATAAGGGTGGTTTTCGCTTGACGGTCATCATATCATATAAGTACACATACATAAAATGTAACCCGATCCTAGGGATGCTAAAATAAAA